AGTTTTTCCCAAAAAGGTCAAAAATACCCCCGGACCCACGTGGTCGAAACTCAAGGTTCGGACCAAAACTCGGTTACCCATTCCCCCATGAATCCCAATTGATGATTTGTTTTTAAATCGGACCCCAAATTGAGGTCCAACTTCTCAATTTGTAGAAAACCTAGGTTCTAGCCAAAACACTCAATTTCCCCCATGAAAATCTTTGATTTGAAGTTGAAATCATGTTAAAAGATGTTAAGAAATAAAGAAATTAAGTTAGAAATCACTTACCAATCGTTTTGGAGAAGAAAAGTTGTTTGGAAAATCGCCTCTTAGGTTTTGGATTTTGAAAAGTGGAAAAATTNATATTTAAGACTTGTACCGGGCGTCAGAACCAAAATACGAGCCCGATACCTATATTTTCTAACTACTTTTCATTTCAAATATTCATATCAAATTTCAGAAAAACAATTTCTTTCAAAAATTTATTTCTCGGGCTAGGGACCTCAGAATTTTGATTCCGGGAACCCGCCCAAGTCCCATATTTTTCTACAAACCCTCTGGGACCGTCGAATCACAGGTCCGGGTCCGTTTACCCAAAATGTTGACTGAAGTCAACATTATGCATATTAATACCAAAATTCATCAAATGTTTCACATAATTCACATATTCTAACATAAAAACTTTCCGGCTACGCGCCCGAACTGCGTACGCCAATCGAGGCAAGTAAAAGCTAGGTTTTCAAGGCCTCGGGAGCACGGAACAAGAAAGAATTACGGTGATGACCCCTTGGGTCGTCACATATTCATATTGTGATATCATTGTTGAGCTCATTACTCAATATTGATAGTAGGTCGTATTTAGATTTCAAATTTGATGCCTTTCATTTCGTTAGACCTCCGGACATAATAATTTGTTTCTTTTTTTTTAGTTTTTCATATATATAAAACCTAGCCCTAGGCGCTTGCCTAGCGGATTGCCAAAAACAAAATCCCCTAATTAAGGCACTAATTATAGATTGCATATAATTTGTAGGTAATCCTTGTTTAGGGTGGGTAATATATAAAGCTAGAATAATTTTAGTAAATAAGTTTCAAATATTGTATAGGAAGGAAAAAATTCCTATATTGTTTCAATTAAATTTCAAAGAGTCGTTAGTCGTATTAGTTTGGTTAAGTGACTGAAATAATTGGTTACTTCGGTTAAAAAATCTGGGAATTGCTTCATTTTGGGAGAATTACACTAAACTAACTGCACAAAAATGACAGTTGTGAGCACTTAACTTTTGCCTCACCAAAAATTACTCCCACAAAATCAATAAATAGATTTTTTCTTAATTGTTTTTAATTTTTTTAATAGTTTTTTTAGGAATTTCTGGTAATTATTTGCATTTAGTTGTATTTTTCATGCATTTTTAATATTTTTTAAAATCATAAAAAATACCAAAAAATATTCAAATCATCATTACATAGAATTTGTAGGTCTTAATTGAATTTAGAATCTAATTGCATAAGTTGAATGCATTATTAAAACAAGATCACAAAAATGATGTTCATTTTTACATTTTTAGCTTTTAGTGTTAAATTAGTAACTTTCTTTCAGTAATTTAAAATTAATTAATTATGTAAATAGTATAAATAGATAATTAGTTTAATTTTATAAATTAAATTAATTTATAACTTAATTTAGGATTTTAATTAATTTAATTAGAATTTAAAATCAAAGAAAAGAGAAGAAAATAAAGAAAAGGAGAAGAGACCATTTTGAGCTTCAAACTAGATTGGGCCAAATACAAATGACCCAAAAATGCTCAAATCCACCTACGTCTAATCCAGCCCACCCCCTTTCTAAAATCTGGTCCAGCCCCAACTAAACCTAAACGATGTCGTTTCACCTAGCTAAATCTCAACATTCATCAAATGCGATCCAACAGCCAGGAACTCACCTAATCCTACCCATATAACTGTCCTAACGTAGTTCCCCCCCCCCCAACCTAGAGACAACCTTTAGAATTATATCTCTCTATCTCTCATACCTCTTTTCTCTCACCACTATACGCCGCCTGCCGGAAATCGCCCCATGACGGCGGCGTCATCCCATATCCTTCCACAATCACACCCTACACTCCTCACTTCATTTTCAACACAAATCCACCATCAATTATTTCAAAAACTTCCCCAAATCTGACCAATTTCAAATCTAAGAAATTCAGAAAACCTAAATTTAGTTTTTTCTGGAAATTTCAAGAACGTTTTGGCTCAAACTTACATGAGTCGATTGCTCTTGACACGAGAAATCGATTTATGTTAGTTTGGTTCATTTCGAAGCTCGTCAGATTTCGGCAAAGTCACCACTGACGGGCCAAGCTTCGCCGCCTTCATTGTTCGTCGATTCACTTCATTCGTCGACTCATTTTCTGACCAAAATCAGTATACTTTTCTTTTCCCCCTTCCTTGTTTCTTTTTTCTATTTCTAAATCATTAATTTAGGTGTTAATTATTATTTTTGATTAGTTCAATTAAAAGTAAGTTTATTTAAGTTAATTGCATTTAGTTAGTAACATCATGTTTAGTTTAGTTTGGATTTGGTTAGATTGTTAATTGATCATTGTCTGAAGGTTACATCAATATGTGATTGTTTAGTATGTTTTCTTTTCTGAATGTTTAGCATGTTTCTGATTGGTAATTAGGGGATTGTTAACAATTAGTTTAATCGCATATAATGGTGTATTGTCATTTCTTTATTTTTTACTTTAGAATTTTGTTTTTAATTCAAAGGTAATTTGTTTGATCTTCCATTAGTCTTGATTTTTCTTTGGTCATTGGGCTGGATCCGGAGTTGGGCATGTTTGTTGTTACTTGGACAGGCCCATTGGTATAGAAGGCACAAATGGAGTAATATTAGATATTGGTCCATGTTGACCGCTTGGTCCAGGTTTTTGCGTTGCTATTAAAGTAATTACAAAGGTGTAGGAGGGTCGTTTAGTATTTAAAATTGAAGGAATCTTTGGCTGTAACTGCCTAAGAAGGTTCTGGAAATAAGGGGAAGATTAAAATGCAATAAAGATAAAAGAAATTAGGTAAAATTAGGGTAATAAGGGTTAAAATCAGAAGTAAAAGGGTTAGAAAAATGTGAGTAAATATTTGAATGGACAGCTAGCTGTCTATTTTCTATTAAAAATATGCTTTTCCTAAAATTTTAGGGGATGCATTCATTAGAATGATTTCATCACCCTTTTCCTATATAAGACCTCACCTTCCTTTCACACACACTCTAATTCCTGCATTTTCAGAGATATTCCTCTTGACTCATCTTTATTCCAATTTTCTCACAAGGATTCTAGAATTCTAGCTTTTCAATTTCATAAAATATCAGAAAAACTAAAAAAAAATCTTTAGTTATCTTTGTTCATTGGTATTGGGCTTCATCTTTCTGGCTTCTAAAGCTCAATTTAACTTCAATCCCTACTATTTGTTGTTGTACTGTCAAGCTATTGGTTGAATTTGAGTTCTGACCGCTTTTGTCCAAATTCAGAGATTTATTTTCTCTTTTCTCTACTGTGTTTGCTACTATTAAGGTATTGATTTTACTCTTATTAGATGTAACAGCATTTGAATGTCATAAATATCATCAGATTTGCAACCATAGATTGACTACATGCTTGGTAAATGTTCTGTAAAGTAGTCTGGTCATTTATGTGCTTTCTTTGAATATATTCTGTCATGTCTATCTGTGAGCAAAATTGGATCTGAAATATTAGCATATAGTAGCAGTCTAATTCTGAACATAATTGTTAATGTTGTAGTAATCATGGAACCTTTTTGTGGTTGCGTTAGCTTGATTAGTTAAAATGAAGTTAGAACTGAGATTTTCAGGTTGGTTTGAAGCTGAAGAAAGACCCATATCCAGCAGTATAGTAGTGAGTAATGCCATGTAAACTTGGAATTTTGAAGAAGAAGTCTAGTAGTGTTCATTTGTGTAATGATGTATGTATGATTATGTTTGGGACTTGAAGTTTGTTTTTCTGCATAGCTGATGTAAAAAATGAGTTTTGAAAATAGCCTGTCACGACCCATTTCCATAATAGGTCATGATGGCGCCCAACACCGTTGTCGGGCAAGCCAACGCGGAAATATAAATAAGTTCTCATTTTATTTTTACCTAAATAATTACAGCAATTTCTTAAGTTAAAGTTAAAATAAGTAATAACCAGTAATGTACCAAAATAATTATACAAATTCCCAAAATAATCGTCTACTGATTTGTGTGTCAAGACATGGTGTCACAAGTTATGGGCAATTAGTAGAATATACAAAAGAATAAATCCATCATATTGTCCGACATAGAATAGATAGCAAAAATAAATAAGGAGAGACTACATCAAGCTGCTGAACGGCACAGGAAAGGGCAGCTCACCGTAGAAGTCTCGAACTATGCTCAGGGATGCGCACCAGACTGATAGCCAGATGTACCTGCCTCAGATCCTGTACAATTAAGTACAGAAGTGTAGTATGAGTACATAAACAATATGTATCCAGTAAGTATCCCGTCTAATCTCGAAGAAGTAGAGACGAGAAGTCGACTTGACACTTACTAGGGTCAAATAATATGAGAGATGAATTATACTGAGCATGGATAAAACAAATAATTGGCAGTGTATAGCAAGAACTAACAGGTCCTCTCCTAAATAATATCACAGCTGGCAACTTACATTCCAGAACAAATAGTAAACTCAAGTCAGAGAAAAATACTGAGTAAAGCATGCGCAAGTAGTGCCGAGGTCGTACGGCCTGATCCAACATAAAAGTAAATTGTGCATTGCCGAGGGTCGAACGACATGAACCATAGATGAATCTATTACCCCGCTCGCAAATCAACCATATGACGCGGTCAAATGTAATTAAACACATCAACAATCAGACAAGAACATATACTGGGGAGGAATTACTCACTGAATTATCAATTACTCTTTAAAAAGGCCAAGAAAGATCATATTCCTCTTAACTAGTCTTATTTATCATAATCACCATGAATTAAGCAATCCGAATTAAACATAGAGTTGCAAGAATACCACATAAAGCATGCTTCCGGGTCCTAAACTACCCGGACTTAGCATAATAGTAGCTACGCACGGACTCTCGTCACCTAGTGCGTATGTAGCCCCCGTATTTTATGGCAAATTATTAGATTACGTCACCTATAGGGACAATTCCCTCTTACAAGGTTAGATAGGAGACTCACCTCGATCCAAAGCATACTTTCAATACCAAGAATGAGCTCAAACTCTCAATTTGGAGCCGAACAATCCAAAACTAGATAAACGAGGTAGGAACTAGTTAGTACAAGCTCCCAAGATTGCATTCTAACTATTTAAGAAATTTCCAACCCGGAAACACAAGTTTCCAAAAATTCGACCCCGGGCCCACGTGCCCGAATTCCAAAAAATTTCAAAGAAAGTTGTTCTTTGTAACCTAAGGATCAATAATATATGATTTCTACTTTATTTCATAACCAATTCTGTGGTAAAATCTATGTTTTATCAAAACCCTAGGTTTTGCTCTAATCTCTTGATTTTTCCTAATCTTTATGTGTTAATCTACCCAAAACTCAAGTATAAAACTTAGAAATAAGGGGGATGAACTTACCTCAAGATGCTAGATGGAAATCATCTCTCAAGAGCTCCAAAATCGCCCAATACACGAGTGCAAAATGGGAAAAAATGACTGGAGCCCGTATTAAATGAAGCTCACTGCTTAAGTGATTTCCGCATCTGCGGTCAGGGGACCGTATCTGCGAGAAAGTGTCCGCATTTGCGGAATTGGACAAGCGGGGCTGGGACCGCTTCTGTGGTCTTAAAGCCTCTTCTGCGCAGCCGCTTCTACGGTTTTGGGCCTGGCCTGCCTTGGCCGCATCTGCGAGAAGATGACCGCTTCTGCAGTTTCGCACCTGCGGCTACCAACCGCAAATGTAGTTATGACAGAAACCAGATGCTTCAGCTCTTTTCAACTTTTCCAACTTCACTCGAGCCTCGTCCGATTGACGCTCGGGGATTCCGAGACACGCCCGAACATACCGACAAGTCTGAAATCATGAAACGGACCCGCTCGAACCTTCGGAACACCCGAAACAATGTTAAATCTACGAATCACCCCCTAAAACCAATTGAATCAAACTTATGAACTTCAAGTTCTTAAATTCACTTCTAACGTGCCGAAATGTACTTATACTACTCGAATTGGCACCAAATTTTGCAGGCAGGTCTTAAATGTTATATTGGACCTGTACTAGGCTCCGGAACCAATATACGAGCCTGACACCAACGTGATCAATCATTATTTAGTTTCTTTAAATCCTTAGAATTTTCACTTTAACAATTTCTAATAAAAATTTATTACTCGGGCTAGGGACCTCGGAATTCATTCTGCGTATACGCCCAGGTCCCATAATTTCCTACGGACCCTCCGGGACCGTCAAAATATAAATCTGGGTCCGTTTGTAAAAAATGTTGACCAAAGTCAAACTTAGCCTTTTAAGAAAATCTTAAGGAATCAAATGAACATATTTCAACCCAAATTCTCCCAACTCCCGAACCAACCATCCCCGCGGGTCATAAATTAGTTAAAGCAAGTGTGGGAAGTTTTATTTAGGGGGCAGGGTTCTAAAAAGCAAAACGACCAGTCGGGTTGTTACATTCTCCACCTCTTAAACAAACGTTCGTCCTCGAACGGACATAGAAAAGTACCTGAGGTGCTGAATAAATGTGGGTATCTATTCTGCATGTCCTCCTCGGACTCCCAGGTCGCCTCCTCAACTGGTTGGCCCCTCCACTGGACCTTTACCGCTAAAATCTTCTTGGATCTTAACTGGCGATCTTGTCTATCAATAATGGCAACTGGCTCATCCTCGTAACTTAGGCTCTCATCCAACTGAATAGTATTTAAGTCCAACACATGGGACAAGTCGGCATGATACCTCCGAAGCATAGACATGTGAAAAACTGGGTGAACTCCCGATAAACTAGGGGGTAAATCAAGCTCGTAAGCAACCTCCCCAACTCGCCTCAACACCTCAAATGGGTCAATAAACCTTGGGCTCAGCTTGCCCTTCTTCCCGAACCTCATAACACCCTTCATTGGCGAGACTTTCAAGAAGACCTTCTCGCCAACCATGAATGACACATCATGCGCCTTCTGATCTGCGTAACTCTTCTGTCTGGACTGAGCTGTGCGAAGCATCTCCTGAATAAACTTTACCTTGTCCAAGGCAACTTGCACCAAATCTATACCGTATAACTTAGACTCACCAGGCTCAAACCACCCGATATGAGAACAACACTACCGACCGTATAAAGCCTCAAATGGAGCCATCTCGATGCTGGACTAATAGTTGTTGTTGTAAGCAAACTCTGCCAAAGGCAAGAACTGATCCCACTGTCCTCCAAAGTCAATCACACATGCTCTGAGCATGTCCTCCAAAATCTGAACTGTCTACTCGGACTTCCTATCGGTCTGAGGATGGAATGTCGTGCTAAGCTCTACACGGGTCCCCAACTCACTCTGGACGACTCTCCAGAAATGGGAAGTGAACGGAGGGCCCCTATCTGATACGATGGAAACGGGCACACCGTGCAATTTGACTATCTCCCGAATGTAAATCTGGGCCAATCTCTCTAAAGTGTAAGTAGTCACAATCGGAATAAAGTGTGCTAACTTGGTCAATCTGTCAATAATGACACATACTGCATCAAACTTCCGCAAGGTCCGGGGCAATTGAACTACGAAGTCCATAGTAATGTGGTCCCACTTCCATCCTAGTATAGGCATCTACTGAAATAGGCCACCCGGCCTCTGGTGCTCATACTTAACCTACTGGCAATTCAAACACTTATCCATATACTCCACAATGTCCCTCTTCATTCTCTGCCACCAATAATACTGCATCAAGTCACAATACATCTTCGTCACACCCGGATGAATGAAATACCGCGAATTGTGTGCCTCCTCTAATATCCTCTCCCTTAGACCATCAATATTAGGAATACATAGGCGAACCTGGAGTCGCAAAACACCATCCTCGCCAATAGAAACCTCCTTGGCACTGCCCTGAGGCACTGTCTCTTTGAGAGCCGCCAAATGTGGATCATCAAACTGTCGGGCCTTGATCTGCCCCAATAATGACGACTGAGCAACCACACACTCAAGAACTCGGTTGGGCTCTGAAATATCCAACCTCACAAGTATGTTAGCCAAGGACTAAATGTCCCAAGCTAGTGGTGTCTCCTTTGCTGGAATGAATGCCAAGCTACCCACACTCTCCGCTTTCCTGCTTAAGGAATCCGCGACCACTTTGCCTTGCCCGGATGATAAAGAATGGTGATGTCATAATCCTTCAGCAACTCAAGCCATCTACGCTGCCTCAAATTGAGATCCCTCTACTTGAACAAGTGCTGTAAGCTGCGATGATCAGTATAAACCTCACATAATACACCGTATAGGTAATGCCTCCATATCTTAAGAGCATGAACAATCGCAGCCAACTCCAAATCGTGCACATGATAATTCTTCTCATGGATCTTCAGCTGACGCAAAGCATATACAATAACTCACCCCTTCTGCATCAATACATATCCCAATCTAACGCGCGAAGCATCGCAATATACCGTATATATCCCTGAACTGGAAGGCAACACAAGAATTGGTGTTGTAGTTAGAGCTGTCTTGAGCTTTTGAAAGCTCGCCTCACAATCATTGGACCAACGGAATAGAGCACCCTTCTGGGTTAATCTAGTCAGAGGTGACGCAATAGATGAAAAACCCTACATGAATCGTTTGTAATAACCTGCTAACCCCAGGAACTCCTGATCTCGGTCGCTGAAGTAGGACGTGGCCAACTCTAAACTGCCCCAATCTTCTTGGGATCCACCTTAATACCCTCTCCAGACACCACATGCCCTAAGAATGCCACTGACTCTAGCCAAAACTCATACTTGGAGA